CAAGTGTAATAAGATAGATTAATAAAAGAGAAATAAGAATAGGCCTTATATTTCTTCGGGCCTATTCCATTTTTTTCCTCTCTTTTATGTTCGATCTCTTCCCTTTAAGTTGGTAGCAGAGCCTCCAATCTTACAATAACCATGGACTCAAGCCCCTCAATATCCAATCAAAAATGTCAGCAAACTAAAATGACTTACAACAAGTTTAAAGAGATAAGTATTCTCAAAGATCTCAAAAAATTTGATGTCTCAAATCAAGAATGTGTCAGATGCATGTTTGACACAAGACAATTACTATATATAGAAAGTTCAAATATAAAAATTGCTTACAGTAAATGTTTTTGATCCATTTTTAGATATTAAGATCCCCCCTTGCAATATTACAAATGGACCAAGATTGTGCAATTTGGCAAATGGTGGATATAAATGTAGCTGCAACAATCTTCTCCACCATTTCACTGTTGATTCTTCCATACATCCTTCATCTAACTACCACTGTTGAAATCTGACAAACATTGGGAAAAAGATTTTAGACCTCAAATAGATCTAGAGTCATTCAATTAAAGAGTGAACTTCATAACATTACTATGGAATCAAGTACCATAACTCAATACTTAATCATGGTCAAGAATCTGGTGGACAACATCGCTGCAGCAAGCTCTAAAGTGGATATAGAGGATATCATCCTCTACACATTAAATGGATTACCTCCCAGTTACCAAGGCTTCAAGACAGAAATTCACACTAATTTGCAACCCTTTTCACTTGAAGATTTCTAAGGTCTTACTTCTCAATGAAGAATGCAATATTGCATAAGAAACCACATGACCCACTCAACATACAGCCTTGAGAACTTTCAAGAACAAAGGGGATACCAAAACACAAGAACTTTCAACAAGAATTAATTAACATAAAAAAATATGCAAAATAGAAACACGTCCAAATCAAAATCGATTATAGTATGCCGTATATGCAATAATTGAGGCCATTCAACTAGTCAATGTTGGCATAAAAAAATAAAATATAAACCTCCCACTACTTCTATTATAACAGCTTTAACAACACAAGTCCCACCCTAGCCACAAAATTGGATGTTGGACACAGGCATCAGTACTCATCACACCCCCAACATGGATCATCTGCAATCTTCTCAGCCATATATGCAAGGGATTAGAACAAGTTGTGGTAGATAATAGACAAAATTCAGAAATAACACAAGTGGGTAATGTTATACTTCCCACACCCGGTCGCAAGGTAAAACTTTCCTCTCTATTTATAGTTCCCAAATTATCCCATAATTTAATATTAATAAATAAATTAGCTAAAGATAGCCATTGCAGCATTATTTATTATGATGACAAGTTTTAAATTCAGGACTCCAATACTAAGAAAATTCTTCTAGTTGGACCAGTTGATCAAGGGCACTTCGCACTACAAGATGTTCAAATATTTGGCATCAAAGAATTGGACTCCCACACAATCAAGTTTTTTCTATGCATTCTTATGCTTATCCTCAACTCAATATTTCTTCATGTATGTCGAAATTTTTAGACTATTATCAAAACAAAAGTAAGAAAATTGCCTCACAATAGTAGTACTACTACATAATGCAAATTAGAAATAATACTTTATGATACTTGGGGGCTCTTTCCCATTCTTCTATAGAAGGAGACAAGCACTATGTCAAATTTATAGATATTTTATCTTGTTATTGTTGGTGCAATTATTTACATCACAAATCTGAAAATACCTCATAATTTATATACTTACATAAATGGATAAAAAAATATAAATTATTTACGCTCTGATGGCAGTGGAGAATATATATATATCAAATGAGCTTAAACTATATATGCAAGAAAATGACATTCAACATCAATTTAGTTGTATCTAAACTTCTGGAAAAACAACATAGCTGCAAAGAAACATCATCACATCATAGAAATGTCTAGAACTCTTCTAAATCCGTCTAACCCACCCATAAATCTTTGGATGGAAGTAGTTCTCACTATTACATATCTTATCAACTCTTCATTCTATTAATACAAAATCTCAATCACCTTTTCAACTCTTATATCAATACCTACATGAATGCCAAAACTTGAGAACCTTTGACTACCTCTATTTTCCTCAGCAACATCACAATTTCCCACATAAGCATTCTCCCAAAGCTCCCAAATTCATATTTGAGGGCTACAATGCACAACACAAAGGCTAAAAGTGTTTCGATATGTAAGCACACAAATTTATTTTCTCATGTCATGTTAGTTTTATTGAAACTAATTTTCCCTATAAAACACCTTTAGCCTCTCAATCACCTTCGGTTCACCCTTCTTTATCAATGACTTGCCCACCACCTTTTTTTCATTCCTATGCTCATTATTGCTTCTAATCATTCAACCCCCTCAACCCACCTTCTTCTGACTACCCGTCAAGTTATTGTCTCTCCCTCACCAACCACATCCCATAGCAACTCTCAAATCTCCACCACCTATCTCAGTCATTCTGAGCCTACCATTTTACCCTCCTGCATAAACTTTACTTCCCCTACTCTACAACCCATCTCTCATCCACCTATAAACAACACCCTATGGTAACTTGCGCTCAAACAGGACATTTCAAACCCATGAAAAATTTTTATCTTCAACATAGTACTAAAACACAGGTTGAACTAAATACTTACAATCAAGTTGTGCAATACTCTCAATGGCGTAAAGCTATGTTCCAATGAATTCATGGCTCTACATCAATAAGGTACTTGGGAACCTGTTCCCCCACTTCAAAAGCAAAATATTTTAGGGTGTAAGCGGACATTTAAAAACAAGTATCATGTTGATGGAACCATAGCAAGACATATGGCTTGCTTGGTTGCCTAAGAATTTTCACGACAATGAGGCATCGATTACCAAGAGACATTCGATTTCATGGCAAAGTTTCCAACAATTAGATTTCTTATTCCTTTGGTTTTCAACTAACAATAGCCTATTTAACAATTAAATGCATCTAATGCTTTCTTACATGAGAAGCTTGATGACACGACTTATATGAAACTACCACCTAGATTTGCTCATGCTCATTATCGTCACCATATATGTAAGTTAGAAAAATCCATATATGGTCTCAAGCAAGCTTCACATCAATGGTATTATATTTTATGTACTTTTTTATGTCAACAAAACTTTATTTTAAGTATTGCAGATCCTTCATTATTGTTTTTTTGTCACAATAATATATGTATCTATTTACTAGTATAAGTTGATGATATTTTAATCACAATATATGTTGATGATATTTTAATCACAAGTAATTGCAATCATACTATTATTGAGCTAATTGTAAAACTAAGCACTCAATTTAACTTAAAACATTTGGGATCCATATCCCATTTTCTTGGGTTAAACATTCAACAAATACCAAAATGAGATTTTCTCAATCAAACACAATATTTAAATGATCTTTTGCATAAAACAAACATGCAAAATGCAAAACCTGTCTTGACTCCTCTTTCTACCACCTCTTATAGAAACACTAAAACAATCAAATCAATGAAGGATCCACATATGTAAAGACAAATGATTGGTTCCCTTCAGTATGTAATTGTTACTCACCTGGATATTACATTTATCATTAATTATCTTAGCCAACATATGCATAACCCTACAACCACACACTTTCAACAGCTAAAACGCCTTCTCAGACAATTAAAAAGGAACTCCTAACCATGGTCAACCTAGAGTTTCTAGTGATTTTTCTCTAAGTGCTTATGCAGATGCCAGCCGGGCAAGTGATTAGTGAGACAAAAAAAAAAATACAATATAGACTCTTTTGTGTAAATTGAACCAAATCTCTTATCTTGGTCCGCGAAAATGGAAAATAATGCCTCTAGATCCTCAACAAAAGTTAAATGTAGGGCTATAACAACTACTAACATGGAGATTCTCTGGCTTCTACAACTTATATAGGAAATGACAGATCAAAAGTTAACTCTCATGACAATCTACAGTGATAAAACGTCTGCAATAGCTCCCGCTTATAATCCCGTTTTTAATGCTAGGACTAAACATGGACTATCACTTCATTCGAGATCATCTAAAACAGAAGCAAATCATTCTCAAGCACATATTGAATAATGATCAAAATGCAGATATTCTTACGAAACCTTTACCAATCGCAAGCCATTAATATATGTCCACCAAGTTGGTGATCACAACCCCAGATCATCACCTTGAAGGGGGTTAAATGGAGACCTTCGATGTGGATTGGATTTTTGATTGTTCGTCTTCTCTCCACTGCTCTCGCCTGCCCCCTCTTTCTAGATCAAATGTCTCCTTAGTGTTTAGGTTTTGTAAAAGAGAAATTTATATTAGGTTTCATTTATCTGTGTAATAACTATGTTACCCTTAGGACTATTTACAAGTCTGTCATCTCAGTGTCTATTTATACAACCATGTTTGTATTCAAGTGTAATGATATAGATTAATAAAAGAGAAATAATATTAGTGCTCATCTCTCTTCAGGCTTTCTTTCCTCTCAATTCTATTTGATCTACTTCCTTTAAGTATTATAATTTAGCTTATCGAAAAATACGATTAATATCATGTATGATGATTTAAAGAGGAGACATTTTGATATAAATTTTCATTTTTTATTTAATTTTTGAAAAAAATATGTTAGATTCTTGACATATTATCATCAAGAACCTCCTAAAATCAAGATTTATACTCTTCAAAAATTAATTTTCTTATTTATCTAATTTGCATTTGATTTAAAATTTATATAAAAATAAGATATTTAAAAAATAAAATATTTTTATATCGAGATTTAAGCATGTATTTGCATATAAAATTTGAATTTTATCATAAAATATTAATAAAAATAAATAATAATAACTTTAGGAAATTTTTATTAGTTTTAAATTAATTAATTGATTTTCACAAAATATTTTGTTACTTCAAAAATTATCCTAACGGGCGCAGCGTCGGGTAATACCACTGACACAAATGCTTTCTCCTTTCCGTTCTATACCCACACCCAAGACCTCGCGCCCACTGTTTTCTCCCACAATTTTGATCTGAAGATTCGAAAATTGCTACAGAGCTCTTCCGCTTGGATAGTGAAATGCTCTTCTCCTTCTCTGGAAGTCCTTCTACGATGTCTCGCTCGATGCATCCGCTTCCTTTCTAGTTTATTTTCCTTGGGTTAGATCTTTATTTTGGGTTAGATCTTTGACTTTGGCTAGTGGCTTTGTTGAAGGGATCAGATCTTATTTAACCAGTGCGAATCTGGGTAAGAAATTTTGCATTAATTTCTTCGCCATTGTCTTTGTTTTCAGAAGTTTCAGGGATTAGATTGTTTTTAGATGAATGTTTTGTTTAATTAGGCCCATATAAATGCTCTCTAACATATTTTACTGAAATATGTGTGGGTTTGTCGCTGATTGATATGAACCTTGCGATTGAAGGTTGTTTGAAAGCGCAGATCTTAGTGGATTTGATTGTGCATTCTGTTAAATTGGCTCTATGGCAGTAGCTGTTTTGCTATTACCGTATCATTAGTTGTTGCAATACCTATGTTTTTCTTCAGTAGGATTGGTCATTCTTATAAATTCTTCCCTGTTTCTATATATATATATATATATAGATAGATAGATAGATATTGTAAAAAAACAAAAAAAAAGGGAAAAAAAAAACTCGATGAAGGATATTCTACTTAAAGTTTGCTAAGTGAAGACATGCTTTCTTGAAGCACAAGACAATTTATGTGGGCGCTGCTATGGCTACAAGTAGGATTTAACTTAAGTAAATATATTGCAAAGCTATCCGTCAATGTTGGGAGATGATCAGATGATACTTTGATGTGCTATTTAAGTTTGTTAATCTATGAAGGCAAATGAATGGGATGTAGATGAAGAAATTACCTTTAGAGTTAATATTGATCCTAAGGTTAAAATGGCAAACTGCCTTAAGGTTATTTTTCAATAACATAATATATTGGACAATAAAGATAATTTATATAAAACTATAATTAGATCAATTATGTTGTTTAGATCTAAGTGTTGGTTGATGAAGTATTCGGTGACAACTTTGTAGATTATTGTGAAAATAAAGATGTTTATACTGATTTATGGTAATGGTTGGACGGATATAATGAAAAATGCTTGTATTAGAGGACAACTGCCTCTTATAGATAAGTTTGGGAGTAATGAGATTTAATGCTTTGAGCATGCATAACACTATGTAGATGCACCAATTAGATGGTTTGATAAATGGGGTATGACTATGATGACTTGTTTTTTTTTTCTTTTGTCTTAATATCTAGAAGTTCCATTCATGTAAGATTCATCAGGACCGAATGGAGGATGAAGATTCATTAAATTAACCATAAATAGTTGGATAAGGCTAATGATTACATTCACCATCTCTATTGATAGCCAATCTTTTTTAAAACGAGCATGCCTACGTGAGTGCCTCGCTTTAAGACCTTGGACATTGAGGTAAGTGACTTGCATTGTTTGAGAGATGGGTGTGTTGAGGATTATGTTAGTTTCTTAAGATGTTAATTTAACATAAAATGATATAAAATTAGCATCAAGAGTCAGAGAAATCGACTTGCGGATTTGGAAACAAGTTGATCAAAATATAGGTGAAAGAACCTTAAGTTATATTGTTGTAAATTTTAAGAATAAGGAGGACCAATCTAAGAAAATAAAGATGGAGATGGAGGAATATATACGATAATAGATGAAATGATGAGTGATTTGATGATTTCAAAAATGGAATAGATAGTTGTGAACATTAGATTATGTTTGTGCTATACATTATACATTTAAATACTTGGGGTGTGTTTGTTTGGGCGTTACAGGAGGAGTTCCAAACCGAACCGAAAAATTTAGGCTTTTGATTCAATGATTTGGGGGAGAACTCGAACCAGATTTTGGTTCCTTTTTTTATAACCGTGACTGGCCCCCTATTGCCACATCTCACATTCAAAACCTTTTTTTTCCTTGATTTACCCTAGCTTTCTTTGCACGCCTCCTAACGAGAGGCTAAGGAGGCCTGAACCGGTTCAGCTAGTTGGACCAAGAGGGCTGACCGGCCCTTGGTCTAGGGGCTAGGTTTGCCCTCTAAGTGAGAGGTGTTCCCCTTAGTTATCTACTATTATTTATATGTTTTTTTTTTTTTTCTGTTTTAGGTTTAGTTTTGTTAAAATTTATGTTTGGATAGCCACCAGCGTCCCCCTTTTCCCGTCTAGGGTTGTATCCGACGACGAGAAGGTGCTCCGGCGGTAACT